TGCGACAAGCCTATCCTACTTTCCACCTTGAGGACAAGGTGGACTCTTTAGGAACGGGGTAATGTTATACACCCACCCCTACGATTTACCTACAGTCAAAGAGAAGTTCCACGTGGGCAGTAGGGAAGGGGACCATGAGGGAAAGGCATGATTCCTTTGGTTAGACAATTTGTTGAGTAAGGGTAGTGGAGGAAATAAGGTTGTACTGGAGATGATAGGTATCCAGAGAATTGTAGCCTCATTTTGGTGAGACTAGCCTCTCAAATTGCTAGTGACCTTCTTTTACCTTTCCCAATTAATCCAATCTGCCAATTAACAGCTTACAAGTGATAGTTATTTGTTGAAATGCATTGGGAGCATAACACTTTAGCAATCCTTTTTTATTTGTCAGAATCAAGTACGGTGCAATGGTATCCTCAAACAAAAGTGAGAATCCATTTTTAACCATTCGAGCCAGACTAAGCAAATTTTCAGCAAGATTTGGAACAAGAAGAACGTCATCAGTGTATTTCTTACCTCTATTCGTTTCAACAGCAAATTGTACTTTTGCCCTTGGACTAAGCACCATTCCCCCTTTGGACCGGAATATTTATCGAGCTATCCAACTTGCAAAAGATGCTTGAATTATTTGTCATATGATTAGGGCAACCACTGTCGATTAACCATCTCTCCTTGTTGCTGAAAGTTGATGCTTGGCGTGCATAAAACAAATAATCTTCATCTTGGGTTTTTGAGAAATAGGCCTCAGTTTTGGACTCCTTTTGTTTTACTCTGCAACCTTGTCTCATGACCATATCTCTTGAAATGTCGGCATTGAGGTTTCCCTTTAAAGGTAGCAATCTTTTTTTGCGTGATCTTTTTTCTTACTTTTATGATTACCATTGAAATCTCCAGGCCCTTTCTTCTTGCAAGAATTATTGCTAAAACCATATTGCTTTGGTTTATACGAAGACATCTTGATGAAATCTCTGTGATTTTCTTCCATTTTTGATCATGTACTTGCAAAGAACTCATTAGCTATGTGACATTGAGTTTGGCAAAATCCTTTGATTCTTCAATTATAGTGACAATTCTATTACACCAGTTTTTTAAGGTCGCGAGAATTTTCTGCACAGTTCTTGCATCAGAGATGTCCTCTCGATAAGTTTTCATTTGGTGTAGAACTTCTAGTAATCTAGAAGTGTAATCTTTGTGTCCTCGTTCTCCCCTATCTTCATATTTTCAAAAATCTTCTCTTAGATAATTAATTCTTGTTGCTCTTACTCTGCCATTCCTTTGAAATATCCCATTCAAATTTTGTTGATGTTGCATGCATAATTCCAGGAAATGGTTCCTGAAACAACATTAAAAACATAGGACAGAGCTTTGGCATCCGTCATCTCATTTTCTTTCATCTTTTCTAATTGAGCCTCATTGTACTTACCTCCCTCTTCTCATTCTTGAAAGCCATTATCCACTCTCTCATAGTGCATTTGCTCTCAAAGGAGCTTCATTTTTATGCTCCAATATTCATAATATTCTTCCTCAAATATTGGAGGTGCTGGCGTCAAGAATTTTGTTGTTGATGATGCACTAGCCATAGTTGAGCAAGATGGATTGATTCTCAGATTGTAACGACCCACGTCCTTATATATTGGGTGTCGTTACTTTACATGATAAAACTAATACATCTTGAATCTGAACTTGAAATTCAGCTTTATTTATAACATATCTTGAATTTATATCAAAGAAGAAATTACTTAGCGGAAACGTAACCATAACTTGTATTACAACAAAACTTGCTTATTGACTAAAACCATACTACTTTATGCAAATCCTCCTTACTTCTTTCCTGAGATACATACATGAGATATATAAGCTATAAGCTTAGTGAGTATTTACGGTTTCATGAATGAGAAATTTTCATGATATTTTGTGAATGATAATTTATTAAAGCCCTTGATCATGCATAAAAATATTCTTTATTATCATGCATAAACATTCATAAAATACTATTTTTTATCATGCATAAAACATTCTTTTTGAGATCTCACTTGTCACATGCATGTATACTATACTTGTCTTGAGGTTTGCTAACCCCCATGTCCATAAAAGGCTGCCCTATAAGGTCCCCTTGCAAGACGTCCCTTCTTATAATATCTCGTGCGTTGGATATTATGGTTATACAAAACATGTAAAAAAGTTCATGCCTTGTGTAACACATATGATTTTTATGTCTTGTGTGTATACTTGTATTAGAACATGTCATCATCCATATCTTGAATATGTATGTGTATCAATATTTTCATGTAAAACAAACATGCCAACATAACTTGTAATGCATAAAATACTTTTATATATAGCATGCATGTATCTCATAAATCACATAAGTACTCACTTTGATTTTGCCTACTTTTTCCTTTGATTCCTTTCTTCAAGCTTAATTATATATATATAGAGAGAGAGATTTCTTATTTTTGGTATCAACAAATAGTGAATCCCTATTTATAGATAAATTCATTGCATTAACTATTTGTTCTTTTTGCTCTCAAGATTGCACTCTTTTGAGAGTTTAACACCTCATCTATAAAGATAAGAGAATCTTGACAACTCATTTCTTAAGGATAAGAGAATCTAGACAACTCATCTCTAAGGATAAGAGAATCTAAACAACTCATGCTTCTAGTACTCCTTGTCATGCTTCCTAAACTTGTCTTGTAATCAATAGTCTTGACAACTCATAACTTTTTAGCCTAAACAACTCATCACTAGATTGCTTATTCATGCTCAATAGACTTGCCAAACATACTTCTAGCCTTAACAACTCATCACTAGATTGCTTAGTCATGCTTACTAGACTTGCCAACACACTTCTAGCCTTAACAACTTATCACTAGCTTGTTTAGTSTTATAATTAAGATGTTTCACTAAATGTAACAGCTGCTGGAGTACTTGAATTACTCATGAATACTTGCATTGAAGGCTTAAATATTGAGATTTATCAAATAAAGAAACTAGGGTGTTACACAGATCCTTAAGATCCTTATGGCTCTGATACTACTTGTTAGATATGAGACAAGAGTGGAAGAAAACAGAGAAAATAATTTAGAGGGAAAGCTTTTGTTTATTATATGATTTCTTGATCTTTTCAAACTGATCTGCCACAACTTATTTATAGCTTTTAATAGAGTATTCTAGAGCTATGTCTAACGGACTCTAGAAGACTCATATTATTTAAATGACAACTTATCATCTTTTTAACCGCCGGACAACATTCAATATAGACACTAAATAAGATTAACAAAGGTCTCATGCGTTAACAATAACAAACAAAATACCTTAGAAAACGCAATAAAACCCGTCAAGTATGAGGATGACGATCTCAAATATCTGGAGTTTTTCTTTGTATGTTATAGGGATGATCCGATCCGCAAGGACCATGATTGAGAATTGTTTGATCGTCTTTCTCTGAGGAAGAGGCAAAATAGAATCAACTTGAATTCGGGACCACTATTCGAAATTATAGTGAAACACTGGATTTGTTATCTCATGTCGGCTTTTCGTGAAAAAACAGAGGTCCCATGGCTAGCTCGTCTACAAGCTTCATTGCCCCATGCAAGTTGCCACACAACTTGCAAGCTAGGTTGAAAGGCAACAAGTGACGCAAATCTCGGTTGCATAACCTCTTTTGAGCAAACCACAATTCATGTAACGTAGCTTTCTTTTCTTTTCCCGGCGACTTCTTCAGGCGAGCTCAGTCCCAAGTAGCATCACCCCTAGTGAGTAAGAATTGGAGCCCCATTCAACAATCCCCACATCTCCTTCTTTCCTAACAATATCTTCATCCCCTCCTCTCACCAACGGTTTCCTTCCCCAAAATCCAACTAGATTTCTTCCAACCACAAATAATGTCAATTGATTTCTTCTTCAACTGGTTTAGATTTCGGATTTTTGTAGTAGACTTTTTCAAGTTTCAACATCACCTACGGAGATTTCTTTTTCAGCAAACAATCTGACAATTTTTTAAGTAGATTTCCTCTTCAACCATAAATTGGGTTTTTTTATAAGTAGGTTAATTAATTTCACATTTAGGAATTTTATATTTGGATTATAAATTCTTGCAAGAAATATAAATCTAATGATTTTTGTTTTCTAAATGCTTTAGTTTTGTTGATTTTGACTATTAATTTTTGGGTTATTCATGATTTTCTTTTAATGGTATTAATAATGGATGGATGGTGGTGTTAGAGGCGGTGGCAATGACAATGGAGGCAGTGGTAGCAGAATGATGATGTAAATGATGAAGATATATATTCAAATAATAAAGAAAATGAACATCAATGGTGAAAAAGATGAAGATGATTCTAAATCGAAACTAATTTAATAAAAATATTAACAAAAACTAAATGCTTTAAGCATTAGTATAAACAAATGTTATTGATATGTTAAAACATTTTTTTGTTATTTATAAAATGTTCTATATATTGGTACAGAAGTATTAAAATTTTAAGAATTTGCTGAAAGTGACTGCAAATAGATCTTTTTGTTGTTTAAAATATTTTCCAAAAACAAAGATCTTTTTCAAAATAAAACCTTTTCAGTTGTTCACATGACAAGCCATTTCAGCAACAACGTAACCAAGACAATCTTTTTGTGCCACCTCAACAGATTGCAACCAGCAATTGGTTAAAGTGATCGCATTCTCCCTTAAATAGTAAGTTTCATAGAATATAATGGCTTGGATGGCCAAAAGAAAAGTTGTTTGCCCAAAATAGRAAAAGTGTGAAAAGTCGGTTGCTATTTTGTGCAATTAACCATCAAATAAAATAGGAAACCTTGCATCATGACCCCTAGGCTTTACCAGGGTCGAAGAGAGAAGGCTTTGTTTTCCCTTGCATTTCACAGAGGCAAATTCCTTGAGTCAAAACCATCAAGAAGTAACCTAGCAGTTGCTCCATGGCTCACAACTACCAATATGCATACAATATGAACAGTTTAAAAAAGTTTTGTATTCAACTTACCACATCAATGATCTTGGCAGGACTCGGTTCTCCTTCACCGTTCCATTCAATTTTATGAAGAGAATTTGTAGCGGAATGTGCCCCAGAATCGACACAATTTTTGGCAGATAAAAACACCAGAAACTTTCCATCTGGGCTGAAAAGCAAAGACAGAGTTATTGATTCTTCAACTGCTTCAATATGAAAGCCACGTAAATGTGGTTGCTAACTACATTGTTAATGTCCCCAACTTTCTCAACCATGTATTGCCAGCCAAAAGCACTACCAACCCGTGCATTCTTGCAAAACGTAGTGGTTTGTTTAGCATTTTCGCAATGAATAGACAAGTACAAGGTTTCAAAAAAAGTTAATCCCTCTTTATATTTTGATAGAGAAGAAGTATCCATCAAATGGTGTATGCGCACACTTACGTGAATCGTGGGAGGAAAGCACTACTCGTGGCTTGACTCAGATTTACCATAGCATTCTCCCTGCAAAACAGAAGACAGATGGTAAAGCATGACAAAGTTTAGGAAAAAGTTAGTGTATTTGAAGATGAGCTTCTTCATATGTGTCGATAAACACCTCGTCTTGGATGCACTGTTTTCTGATCCAAATGACGGAGCCCTTACAGCATACAAGGCACAAGGCCTATTAAAGCAATACTTCATTCCAAACTTCCTAGTGTCTGATGGCCACCCGACAAAGACTAGATATTGATGTAACCCTTTTGTTGTTGGAGCCCATACAACTTGTCCAACACTCAATGACCTCCCAATCCCATCTACAGCATGAACATCTCCACTGCAATAAAAAAGCAAAAAAGGGGGAAAAGAAAGATAAAATTTTACATCAAGAATTCTCATCATGACAAAACTAGGTGATTGTCCAACCTGTTAATATTAATGACAAATAGAGCAGGCTGCCTTTTTCCAGCATAAGCTTCACCCCAGTCTTCTTCCCAATCTCCTTGACCTTTCCAGCTATTACAATCCTTATCGGTGGAAGCAGCATCTTTTTTGTAACCCGTATCATTAAATGTTGGTTTGCGGAGAGCTGATTCCTCTGCAACATAAGCAATAAGACTTTCATCGGAGCTCCATGAAATTCCCTCAAACCTGATCCGTCGTAATATATAATTCAATACTTCTTCCAAAAAATGAATACAACTTTCAACCGCGCACATAGTTATATACAAGTGTTTGACTATTTAGTCAAACATCTAAAACACCCATCAATAATAACAAAATAGAGTTATCTTATGGATCAAAATCAATGCTGTCAGTAATGCATAATACTACTAGTGCGCAAAGAGGTAATGTCGGTTAATTCTTTGCAAATAAACAGAAGCATTGCATTTATTTGGGACCGAGGGAGTAACATTTATATAAAATAAGGAGGATGGTGATTCTATGGTGTAGTTTAGAATATTTGTGTTTTATGATATTTATCATCATAGGTCGCTTGAATTGCCTCTAAAAATTTATTGTCATTTCAGGTACTTAATCAACAAGATGATATAAGTGGCGGAAGTATGGCAATTGCACTTCTAAGGTACACAACATAGTTAAAATATATATGAGCTACATAGATAATAATTATGAATCAAAGCCGCTTTTGACTTCAGCAGACATTTCATATAAAAACTTACCATCCATCTGCATACACAGAACCATGCATGGACTGGGGAACACGAATCTCCTTCTCTAACTGAAATGGACCCCAGATTTCGAATTGAGTGGCTGAATCGTTTTCAGGATTTCGTACTACAAGAAGCTTTGTGCCTGATGGTGAGGGAACCATCAGAGATGCACCTGTAACTTCAACTGGAAACGGTGCCCATTGAACATTTAAAGCACCATTAGAATCTCCAGAAATGACACTAGACAACATAAGTGTCTTCTTCTTATTCGCTAAAAGATTTGGTTGGCTAGTTGAAAACATAACATGAGAACCCAAACCTGCAGTATATGTTAGGCACAAGTTAGAGAACCAATCTTTATAACACCAAAAAATACCATATAGCGGAACTCTTTTGACTTCATTTAATTATAACTAGCACATTGAATAAAAGACGTATGAAAACATGGTGTATATACCACTGGAGGACTTGAAGGTCCATGCTTTATCAATGGTAGAAATGCTTGTGAATTCTTTATACAATTTTGATTGAGAAGCATATTCTTCCTCGATGAAGTCATCTGGGCCGACTGCAACTTCCTTCACTGGGCTAACTCTGGAGACGTCCATTCCTGAGCAGACCCCAAGGCGTTTACTAGAAGATCAAATTCACAAAAATAAAAGTGTACAACTTATAAAGAAGCTTTGACAAGTGACCGAAGTAGAAGAAAAACTGAAGAGAGATGCCCAAAGTATATCAACAGATTCAAGTCCCTTCTTTTATATAACATAACGAATCTGGACAAAAGCCCTTGAAGTGACCCCACTGCCCTTGGATTCTGTTGAATAAAATAATAAACATTTATTTTTGCTCATAACGCGATATATGTTTGATGTTACATGTATCTGGATCAAAGTTTCTAAAGGCAGAACCTTTTAAGCTGATTCTATGTTCGTTTCTAAAAGCAATCCAACAAAACATGTTGAAGAAGCTTTAGCTTCAACAAGTAAATGGCTTCCTCCCACTTAGCAACATTGGGTGTTCTAGCAACCTTACACATAACACAAATTATTATATGATGTAACCATTATATATATACACTTGACCAGAGTTTATTCTCAGAAGCACATATTCCCGACCAACTTGTTTCCAAGAAAATGACATAACAACCCCTGATAGTTGTTATATTCATTGGTATTTCAGGACATGAGAATGAAGAAGCATCCGTGTCACACTAAATAGAACCATGAGGACGCTACAGTTAAAAGCTACTCTTGTAAACGTTTGTACTTCCACTCCAAAAATGTATCAAATAAATAAGGAGATTCTAAACGGTAACAATTATTATATCATAGTCACAAGACAAATTCATCACAGTGCCGCTTTGAATACTATGAAATATATAGAGGTACTAGGAAAGATTGAAACCTTACATTCAAAAGCACTTTAGCTCCTTAGTATAAGGAATTCAGTAAAACTACTCATAGAACTTTCATGTACACTAATCTAATCGGGAAAAGAAAAGGGCAAAAATACCAATCTGCTACATCTAAATAACTCCTAATTATCATATTGGAATCACACCCTTATACATGTAAACCTAAGCAACAGAATACAAAAACTTCATAATCATGTGTAAATTTTGAAATTTCTAACCAAACCCAATAAACTAAAACGTAGGAGACACCAATGGGATCATTGCTCAGTTTCCCTTTAGAAGTTGAACCTAGTTGGTGTTCTAAAAATCCCCCCTACAGCTGCTTGGGAGTTTCCCATATTGCACTGTTTGTAACTAACTAATCATTGGATTAAGCATCTCAAAGTTTAAAGGTTGGATAAACACCTTTTGTCCACGGGGATGGGATCCACCGATCTTTTCTCCAACAATAAAATTAGTAATTCGTAAAAGCAATTACATCAATATAACATATTGCCTGGCTTCTAATTCTCATATGTTTACATAAATTCCACAAAATGGTATTCCATATACATTGAAATGAACTTGTTATCTTTTGCTTAAGCATCCGCCTAATCCCCACTTAGGCAATTAAGCACCATGAAGTCACCTGACTGCCTAACAGAAGTAAGAACAGGATAATCCTACCATTGAAGACCATTTACAGACTGTATTCTATATTGTATACATTTAATCCGGGACCAGTTAATTTGTCTGTGTAACCAAAGAGGTCTTTCTAGAACACTGGGTTCCGAAATTTTGAGGCAGACTTTAATGTTTAAGAACCATTCATCTATTTCTATGTTTATTATCTGTTTAGAAGTCACGTGAACGTTATCCTTTAATCAAGGGTATAAACACTAGTTAAATGACAGCAAAAAAAGGAAGTCAAAGTTTTTCTTTTACAGACAAATTGCAAAGTAGGCACAGATTCCACGGAATCAATCAACAAACCTATGTAAGATCGATTAAACAAAAACTCAACAAAAGGTAAAGAAACTGAAACGATTGGGTAAGCAAGAACATAGTTATCCAGTAAAACCAAAGCGAACCAAACCAATCCAGAAGAGCATAAGTTTCTTAGTGTTTTTGATAGGGAGGGGGGAGACCCCTCCAGGTCAAGTAGTTTCTTAGTGTTTAAACCAACGGTTATCAACTATCTAAATTCTAAAGTCAAAACTCCGACTCTTTACTTCAATCGAAGAAGTAAACAGTGGTTAGACGCAACCTCAATCCAATATAATTGAGTTATCTAGCCAATACCCGAGTGAAACCCGTCACTTGAAGACAAATAACGGGGAAATTCATAACACACGCACACATACTGAAGTGCATGGAGGGAAGAATGCATACGGTGATCGAGAAGGACGGTGGTTACGAGGATGATGAGATAATGACTTGAGGAAAAAATTGGGTGAAGGAAATGGAGATCGAGAGTTTGATGGAAGTGAAATGGTAAAATACTGCAGGAGCATCTCTCACCAGATTCCGATTGATCCTCGGAAGCCACTGGTCCAATGTATTATTGGAAAAATAAAAAAGTTAATACAATTTTTATATCAAAAACATAAATATGCTGGAATTCATAAGTTATGGGATTGAGTGTAATATTTAACACGATTAGGAGGGACATTATGAATGATTAATAGTCAATGTAACTTTCATATTTTCATTATGTTTTGGTTCAAGCTTTTCACTATATAAAAAGGTTGATGCCTCGTAATTGTAGACACACTAATATTTTCAACATACGAGTTATCCTACTCTCTCTCTCTCTAGTTAATTTCATCTAAAACACGTTATCAGCACTTTAGCTCAAAAAACGGAGGAATACAAGATTGTTTTCTTGTGTAGATCGTCATTTCAACCCGGAGGAAGGTACAAATTTCTATTAAACATTGAAGTAGTATGGTTAATCAAAATATATAATCGGAAATATGTTTTTTCCATGGATATTCTGTTGAACCATTTTTCAAAAAAAAGGCGCTTTTGGAAAAGTGTTTTTCAATATGTTTTGTAGAACTATGTATATAAACATGTAAGTTGGAAAGATTATGAATCAACTCCAAATAGGTTCACCTATTTGGATACAATGTCTAGGAAGGAAAGATATAGGCGGATAATCTATATATATATTAAAGAAGAAACCAAAGGTAATGAGGTGGCACCTTCTAATGCTTAGAACCCCTCCTATCTTTTTTCTCATTTTTTTGATTTTTTTAAATGTTAAATATGTTAAAGACTTTTTTGCCCCTTGATGAAAAATRTATAGCTCATAATTAACCCGAGTTATTTTTGTAATTTTGTATACCCAAGTTTAACCTCCAACTCTTCATTTGCTCTTCCATTTACTTTCTTTTATTTCTTAATGAAATTTGTTTTTTTAAAGTTTCAATAATAAACAAAATGAAATCATATAAAATCCTTTGGTGAGGGATGAAGAAGATGAGAGTTGAAGAAAAATTCAAAGATTTTAAAAGGTATGTAGAAATTATATTCATTAAAAAATGTGATTTGTTATTACATGTTTCTTTTTCAATATTGTTGGATATGTTGTTGTCATAGGATATGATTGTGTTTACGATTGGATTATATAAATTGTGTTTACGATTTGATCATATAAATTCGAATAAAATTTTGATATTTTATAATCACAGGATATGATAAATTTTTTTCGAATTTAAGTTTCATTAACAACAACTATTTATTCATCTTCATCTCTCACACCCTCTCAAATTCTATCTCTATTTTATACATCTCTAAATTTATTTTCTTTCTCTTTGGTTTTTCTTCTATTTTACTATTGATAATCTTCATTTTTTTTTTCACTTCTCCCATAATTTTATGTATGTTTGTATCGTTATTTAAATTGCATTATATGTCATGAAGATTTRAARAAGTTTCAAGTTCTTTGGTTTTTCTTCTATTTCACTATTGATAATCTTCATAGTTTTTTTTTGTTTTTTCATTTTTCCCACAATTTTATGTATGTTTGTTTCGTTATT